GGCTTGAGTCGGCGGAGGAAGTGGAGACGGAAACTGGTGGATTTGAGAACTTCACTGACGTGTGGTTTCCACCTTTAGTTTGTTTTCTATAGTGACGCCGAGGAGCTTAGTGGAGTCTACAACCTGGAGTGTGCTAGGGCCTAAGAGGATGGGACAACGTCGGAGGAGAGGTGGATGTGTATAACCATTGTCTTGGTATGGTTGATGGTGACGTGGTTGCTAGCGGCCCAATTTTGGAGACTGTTCAGTAAATCCTGGAGGGCGGTTTAGTATGGAGCCTAGTTGTTGACACTGATCCCAATTGTGGAGTAGTTGACAAATTTCCAGCGAGCAGAGGTTTCTCTTAAGGCATCATTGATAAGCGTAAGGAAGCAGAGAGGTCCCATCTTGGTGCCTTGGGGGACGCCACAGGTCGATAGCTTTGTTGATGATTAAATTGTGGTCAACTAGGTAAAATGCTTTGGTGAAGTCAATGAAGGCGACAGCCGCAGACGTATCTCGTTTTTCCAGATGGCGGTATATGTAGTCGAGAAAGATGTCAAGACGGTGAGTGGTGGAGGAAGTTTTCAGATTGTCAAATTGCAGAGGTTGAAAAGGGACCTGTAGCAGTGTTGGTCATTGAGATAAAAAACACTGGCTCTCTGCTGCATAAGTTTTTTGATCCGAAGTGTAATCCAGGGCAAGTCAGCTGGGTGGGATCTGACGGACTTCTCGGGGAAGAAGTGGTGGTGAACTTCCGTGGTGGTGTTGGTATATTTTATCCGTTTGGTGTCTACGTCATCCAAATAAGTATTTCAGAGACGCACTGCAGAGTCAGTAATCGGCCTGTAGGTCTTGATGTAGGGTCTGCACTTGGCTGGCAGTGGCAGCTGATGACCAGAACACTGATAGGTGTGTGCTGCACCCAATAGGAGGCATTGGTTGAGGTGGTCAGTATGGTCCGCTAAGTCAGTTAAGCTAAAGTCAAGGGAATTTTGACCGTGTGTAGGAAATTCACAACATTCGATAGTAGCAGCTGGTCCTGGATATCAGTGGTGTCAATTTCGTTATAATCCCCCCATAGTACTAGCTTGGCACATGTGTACCTAACTCTGCGGTGGTAATGAGGTAAGCGAGGTGGATGGTATGCCACACAGTATATGAAAGAAGCAGTGTGGCATGGGTAGGCCCGTGGTACGACCCTTACCCATAATGCCTCCAAATCAGCTAGGACTTGAACATCTAGGCGTGACGGGCGTAGGTCATCTTGACACGAGAGGGCAACGCCCCCTCCACGTCTATGTGAACGAAGGTGACGAAAGAGTTGATATCCCTCAATATGACACGATTCAGGAACAATTTGCCAAGCTTCGCATATGGCAATAACGTTGGTAGCGACTGATCGGACTGTGGTTGCCAGCTTGTCAAATTTATTAGCTAAGGAAGTGAGGTTGGAGAGCAGTAAAGAGTGGAGACCAAACCATATTCGGGGAGCTTCAGTGTATTGGTTCGGTCTGTCAGGAGTGGGTTTCTCTGGTTTTCTAGTGGAGGTGATGGTTCTAATGGGCTTTTGTTTATGACTCCTTGTCGACGGCTATGAGCATAGATTATGCTCAGTGACTTAAGTTGCGCGATAACGATAGCACTTCCATCAGGATAACCGTCCCATGCTTTAGAAGGTAGAGGGAGCGTCTGGAGTAGGTAATTGTTGGACATCTGTTGATATATGTTGTTGTGGACAGACGGAAGTGCTTGTCCGCGGTGGCCATAAACTCAGTGGCGGCACTTTGAGGGCCACTGACATTGGCACACATCTGTTAGCATTTGTCTAGTCGTGAACTCCGAGAGTCCTTGTCTCCGGTACTTAGTAGACCATCAGGAGATCTGGGAGTAGCAGAGGGCCCCAGAGGGACGGTGCATAGGCCCACTGGCATGTGGGCACGTTCTGGTGCCTATCAACCATTGCCCCTCTGCCTTGAGGATTAAACTTGGTAAGTATAATGCTTCGGGAGTATCGCCCAAACGAAAAATCAGCGGTGGAGCCCCGCATCAGGCAGACATGATTACAGACCTCCAACAAGTTCCCAGCGGTGGTATTGGGGGAAGAGGTGACCACCACGGGAGCCCAACGACTACTCTGGCAGACGAAGGCAATGCCTGATGGACTAGCTACTAAGGAGAAACCCAACAAACTGGGCTATCGGCAGTCATTTGTAACTCTCCTCCCCAATTGTTGCAACACTTACACCACTGGATCAGGAAAAGGGAGAGCCAAGATGTGTGGTTGCAGCCTGTGCTCCTGCCTCACCACATAAATCAACTCAGGCGAAGCCATCATCCAGTTCATCATACCTCTCATCCTCATCAAAGCCCCTTTACCCCCAAAGGTCCTATGGCGACGGACTAGTGGCGACGGGGATAGGCAGAGATGACTGCCGTGAGTCTCTATTCACAACTCTGCCCATGGGCGGCACAGATAAGATGCACTGGGATCTAGACAGCAGTGCAATCTGGTCCTGTCTGTGAGACTGAGCATCCATTTCGAGGAGCCACTCTGATCCCCGCACATGGAGAGGGGTTAAAAACGTGCCCTAAACAAAGCCTGCCTAAAAAAACCCACCTGAATGAGCAACCGCACCCAGTAAGACCATCCTTATATGGTTGAAAACACATTAAAAATCACAGATCCAAACAAAAATAAACTACACAACGTCTTATGGTCGCTGCTTGGAATGTCAGGACCCTTCTGGATACTGACACAAATGAGTGTCCTGAAAGAAGAACTGCCCTTGTGGCAAATGAGCTGGCTAGGTATAACATCGACACAGCAGCCATCAGTAAGGCCCGGCTCCCAGATGAGGGTCAACTCACAGAATGGGGTCTGGCTATAACTTCTTCTGGAAGGGTAAGCCTGCTGTGGAGAGAATCCGCATTTATGGAGTTGAGTTTGCCTTCCGCCAACGCATCCTACACAGGCTAACTGAAATGCCCATTGGGATCAACGAGCGCCTCATGACGCTCCGAGTCCCACTGAATCACTCATGTCATGACTTCTTCATCAGTCCATACGCCTCAACACTGGATGCAGAAGATGACATCAAGGAGGCATTTTACGCCGACTTCGAAAGAGTGCTAACCTCTATCCCTAGAAAAGATAAGGTTGTGCTCCTTGGTGACTTCAATACCAGAGTTGGCAGAGATGCTGACATTTGACAGAGAACCATAGGGAGAAATGGACTAGGCAAGTATACTCCCAGCAAGTGTGCTATGCACAATCGCACTATCACCAGTACCTTGTTTAGGCAGACCGACAAGTTCAAGGGTTCGTGGCACCCCCGATGATGCAAACACTGGCATCTCATTGACTACGCCATTGTCAGAGAAAGACATCGCCGGGATGTCCTCATCACCCGTATCATGGGTGGCTCAGACCACTGTGACACTGATTATTGGCTTGTTAGGGCCAAGCTCTCATTTCACGTCGCCCCAAAACGGCGAAGGCAGCAAGCCTCCAGAAGAGGTTTTAACACTAAGCGTCTGGAGGATCCATTGGTAGCGCATACTTTCAGAGAGCAGCTCGAACATGGGCTGATAAACAACCCAAATCCCAGTGATGTATGGGATATTCTCGACACTGTCATGACAAAAACCTGCAGAGAGACCCTTGTAATAGCCTCTGTCTCATAGGCAAAAGCATTATATAAATGGGTTAATTACATTTTATTTATAAACTCTATCACCCACTGTAACTTTCCACTGGCTATGAGGTGACATGTTCAGAGCACATGATAAGGTGTGCCCACTGGAAGCCGGATCATATTGTGCTGAGTTAAGGCATTAAGTAGCCTGCTCCCTTGCCACCTAAAGCGGGCAGTAGTTTGATATCCTTGACTAGAGGAAGACGATATTGAGAGCCATCGTGGATGGTTCCGTCTTCCGTCGAGGGAGGACGGCGTACATATTTCTGTTCTCCCCCGATGGGTTCCTACTCACAGCAGAGTCACTCAACCCCTCACACCAAACGGACGTATTTAGCAGGTCTTTTAACATAGCCTCCGTCCTTACCTTAACACTCATAGTTACAGTGATAAGTTACGGTGATCTACACTCTGAACTGTATCCTAGATAGTTCCTGAATAAATGGATAACAGACAATTGGGTTTCGCTACTATAAACCCTATATAATATAAATGTTCCGGCTTCATTAACCTAGACAAAATCAACAGTTAACCGGCCTAGAACACCCTCGACCAGGTAGAAAGAATACACCAGGGCTGGTTTGATGACAATGACCCGGCAATCAATGTACTGGTCGATGATAAACGTGCTGCTTTCACTGACTGGCAGAACAACCCTTAGTCCAGGACCAAAGCTGATACCTTCCGCAAGAAGAAAGCGGTATGGTCCAGGGGCAACTTCGTAATGTAAAGAACGACTGGCTTAGAAACAAAGCATGTTAATTTGCAATGGACCGGGGCAGTTATTGGTAAGCGCCAGGGAGTGTTCACAAGCCAGTGGGCCTATGCATCGTCCCTGTGGGGCCCATTGCTGCTCTGAGATACCCTGCTGGTCTAGCCTGGGGCTGCAAGGCACCCAATTACCACATGTTTCCACTATGAGGAGTCTTGATGGTAAAGAGGCTGTGTACTGGCAGGGGCAGACTTAGGCAAGGTTGCTTCCCTTTTCACCACGACGGTAGCCAGTGGCAGTAGCTGAAAGCGAGAGGAAGGAAGCAGTGCCTGTACCTGAAAACTAACATAATGTTGTCACACACACACACACACACAGACTTTCGTTTAAACAATAATAAATAGTGAAATCATCCATTATTCAGTGAGAATTAGTTAACTTTTTGTGTTTAGTAAATCACACTCAGGTTATTTAGACCCTTAGGCAGGTTTTTTATTTTTCACTTTATGAAGTGTGTAACTTGTTATCTACCCCTCTGTCTGTCTGTCTGCCTCTTGCTTAATATCTAAAAAAACAAAAACAAAAACATGATCTTCCTCTCTCCTACTAACCTTGATGGAGGAGATAATATCTTCGGCGAAACTTTCATCAACAGAGGGAGCTATGGCCACCACCACACCCTCATAACCATTGTTGATGAGTCGCACGTTACTGCTAGTAGAAACCACAGAGCGCGCCGCCAACACCACCACTACCACTAATACAGTCACCAAACGCATTCTGGAAAATATGTTAAGTAATTTCATCTGGTATACACGTGATATACCAAGGTGACCATTAAGACACAAAAAGCCTACTACCATGTTTAGATTGTAACATCATGTTGTAATTACATAAAACAAAGCAAAAATGTTGTATTATCCTCAGGAAAACGAGACGCTCCTGATTTAACATAGTAACAAAATGGTTCACACTTTCTGGTGATACGCTTCAGGAACATTGACCAGTGTATCAACATTTTCTCATATTATCATTAACACTCAGAAATAATG